AGAAGCTGGCTGGACAGCACCCCCTGATCTGCCGTTTCATGAAGGGCGCCCGCCGGAAACGCCCGGTTTCTAAGCCGTCAGTCCCATTGTGGGATCTGTCTCTGGTGCTGGGTGCCATGTCTCATCACCCTTTTGAGCCTTTGGACGGGGTGGGGTTGAAATATATCTCTCTTAAGACAGCGCTGCTTTTAGCTCTGACTACAGCAAAGCGAGTGAGCGATTTGCAGGCCTTGTCTGTCCGCTCTTCTTGTTTGCAGTTTGGTCCGGGACTTACCAAAGTGTGCCTGCATCCTAATCCTGCTTTTGTGCCTAAGGTTGTGGACTCGACCTACAGGTGCTCTACGGTGGAGCTGACAGCCTTCCACCCCTCTTCTTTTTCCTCTGCTGAGGAACAGAAGCTAAACACATTGTGTCCAGTTCGGGCCCTACATGTGTATATAAACAGGACAGCAGGCTTCAGGAAGCACGATCAGTTGTTTGTGTCCTGGGCTCCCCCCCGGAGGGGCAAGCCGCTGTCCTGCCAGAGGCTCTCTCACTGGATTGTACAGGCTATTTCTTTAGCTTATACATGCAGGGGCTCTCAGCCTCCCGAGGGTTTAAGGGCCCATTCTACCAGAAGCATGGCCACATCTTGGGCCTTGTTCAAAGGGGTGTCAGTCCAGGATATTTGTCATGCGGCAAGCTGGGCTACACCGCACACGTTTGTGCGTTTTTACAGGCTGGATGTCTCAGGACCCTCTGTGGCACATGTGGTGCTGGAGGCTAACGCTGCAGAACTGATCTGAGAAATCAGTTTTCTGCGTGTCTTTATAGTTTGCAGTCTGGGGAGATTGCGGCGCAATCCGGGAGCGGTCCATATCTCCCATAGTGAAACACCGAGCGAAGTTAGAAAAAGAACTTTGGGTTACTTGACGTAATTCCTGGTTCTTTGATAACAGAGTGAGGTGTTTCACCATCACTTCCCGTCTTGCGCAGGCACGGGAAGAGATCCTTTTAGAATGAGCCGTCAGGGAGGTTGACCGCATTAATAGGGCAGGGGCGGAGCCTGGTCGCAGGTCGACCTGTCCATCACAGACGGACGTGGTGTCATTGGAGCTTCCGTAATTGGTCACGCCCAAAGCGATTCCCATAGTGAAACACCTCACTTTGTTATCAAAGAACCAGGGATTACGTCAAGTAACCCAAAGTTAACAGGTAGCCTCATGCTCAACTCATTGAGCCTGCTGCCAGATGGGGAGGTGGGGAAAACACAAACGCTGACAACAGGGAGGATAGGATGGCCAGTGACACCTGCTGGCCAAACGTGGAGGGGACACGAAAGACTGGGACAAACTGGTGCTGACCCTGACAAACATTCAACTGCCATCTGCCAAACCCAAACTTGGCATCAGACTGCCAGACAGAGAAGTGTGGTTTCCACTGCTTCAGAGTCCAGTGGCGACATGCTTTACACCACTTAATCCGACACTTGGCATTGCATTTGGTGATGTAAGGCTTGCATGCAGCTGCTCGGCAATGGAAGCCGATCCTATGAAGCTCCTTAATTCCTCGTGCTGGGTTAATGACAGAGGAAGTTCAGAACTCTGCAGTCATTGAGCCAAGAGAGAGTTTGTGACTTTTTATGCTCTATGTGCTTCAACCTACTCTGTTACTTTATGTGGTCTGCCACTTCATGGCTGAGTCTCTGTTGTTCCTGAAGGCTTCCACTTTGCAATAACACCACAAACAATTGACTGTCGAATATGGAAGAAATTTTCACAAACTGACTTATTGCAAAGGTGGAATCCTATGAGAGTACAGTACCATACTTGAATTCACTAAATTCTTCAAAATGACCCATTCTTTCACAAATGTTTGTAAATCTGACTGCATGGTTAGGTACTTGATTTTATATACTGTACTTGTGGCAATTGGTCTGAATGAAACACCTGAATTCAGTGACTGAGAGGTGTGTCCCAGTACATTTGTCCATGCAGTGTTCTTCTCCCCTTTTAAGGGACTTTCTATTCCAGTTTCATCCTGCAGTCCAAGAACTAAGGTTATATTAATTTGTACCTCTAAATTGCCAACAGTGTGCAACTGGGTGTGTGTGTCATGCGATGGACTAACATCCCACCAAGAGTGTACAACTACCTTGTGCCTTCTGCTACCTGGGATAGACTGCTGGCCTCTGTGACCCTGACCAGAGAAAGTAATACACAAGTCCTCACAAAGTCCTGCTTTTGTTACGATTACATGCTTTCATTGAAAACTGCTAATGTGTATTATATTAAATATTGAACAAGCCATCACTGAGTTATTGTCAGCATCCTGGGAAAGGGCTCTAGATCTTGTTTTGTGACCAGCCTACTTTCTTCAAGTTAAAAATACCATCCATCATGGTAACTGAACAGTTGACCTTGTCCTGTGGTGGGTGGTCCATGATCATCTTACTCCTTATATATAGTTGAAGAGCTTGGCAGGGTTTTTTGCAAATGTCTAAGAATAGAGTGAGGGATTAAGAGATTAAGGGAAGGAGAACTACTTGGAGTTTTCCATCAGTCTGGATTAGCAGTCTTCAGTAGATCATGTACATGAACTTGAACAGTAGTGTCCTGCCCTTTCTGTTATGGATGGTATTCAGTCACATAATAACTATGGTTCACATATCTTGTGTATTTTCATCTGACATAAATGCACATTTTTTAGTCATTTTATTTTATTCAAAGCGACTTACACTGAGGATACAATTTACCTGTGCTCTACAACCTTTGCATTGTTATTGCAATACTCTATTTGTTGAGCTACAGGAGCTACCTAAGCATTTTTTTTATTATTTGTATGATGAGAAGATATTCGAGACTCAAAGCCACATGCCATGTATATCAGAGTACAGTGCTAGTAAGTGAATTGGCTGGTCAGTACAAGGTTCTATTTGTTAATGAATGGTTCGGTAGGTACCTTGGTTTTGAAATCACATTTTGGTATGTTTTTGGTACAGCAGGGATAAAAGAAACAAAACATAAATTGCTTCTTATTTCTTTATTAAACACTGGTTTACTGAACAAAGTATAACTGTCGTAAAAAGTTTCTGTCGATACTGCTGCAACTTACTAATAAAAAACTAAAATCAAAATAAATATACTCTCAAGTAAATAAAAATGAAATAAATATTCATTACGGTTCACATTTAACCACACCTGATCTGTACTGTATTCACATTATTAGCTTTCAGCTTCGTATTAGAACTGTGCAACACAAAAATTGTCTCAAAAAATACAAAGCATAACAATGTAAATATGGATTGTGGTGGAGCATTCAAAAAAATACCTGCGCTGTACTTGTATTCACATTAACAGCTTCCAGCTTCACATTACGATGCACATGCATGCATAGCAGCATGGCTTCATCTACCCCTTTCCGAATGTTGCTCGGGGGAAACACAGAAACACACAAAGGCTCTGCATTTGCTCTATTCGTTCGGTACATACAGTATGCGTACCAAACCTTAAAACCTGTACCAAACATTTTTAGTACAAATACATGTACCATTACACTTCTAATATCTATCCATTTAGCTGTTTGTTTCCAGATTATTATATGTCTGTTTGTCGATTTCAAGTATATTGCCTTAACCACCTGTCTAAAATGTATTTTTTATAGTGCTGAACTGGCTTGGACTACCATAATTACCTGAATTACCTGAGAGAGTACAGCTGCTATTTTTAACCAGGATATTTTGAACCTAAATCTGCATTTATCCATAAAAGGTGTTTTTTGACTGAACCTAATTTCCCTTCTTTTCATCTTATTTTGATTGAAAGTTTACTTTTTATTAATCTACATCAATGCCTGTGCTGTTTTATTATTGTACATGTGTTGGTTGCCTGGTGTGTGTTTTTGATTAATTTTTGGCTTCAGACATGCCATAAAGATTAGATTTGACAGGTCTCCTCCCAGGTTGGCCAGCAGGTGTTAATTTATGATTGTTTAATTTTCTGTCCAAAATGTCCAAAGCAGTAATGTAATTGATTAGGTAAGAATTTGTGGGAATTGGTATAGATTCCCTTGTCACAATTGACCAGCATAGTGGGACTGTTTCTAAAGTGCAGTATAATCTCAGCCACAGTAGGTTTAGGTTTGGTGTCAACATTGGTACTGTAGGGACCAAATCAGCCCCGAGCCCCTTGCCCCCCTAAACACATGGTACTTCCTCAACATTGGTAGGGACATGTCCCTACCATCCAAACTCAAATTTATGTCATTAGAAAAAAATATGAGATTTACTTTATTTGTGATTTTCTTTTAATGGAACTTTCAAGTAGGCTGGGAGCAGTACAATGCATTGCAACTTGAGTTTGTCTGTTTAACATTTGAAGGCATGTGTTTTGTTCTGCCAAGAATCTGAAATTCGAGTACTCTAAAGATTGCAGCATGAAATACGATCGTGACTGGAAAGACTCTTCTAATCACCTAATCTCTCTTTTACAAGGTCAGTCTTTCAATGCCTGCTTGCAGAAAAGTTTTTTTGGAATGGACACAGAGCTATGTGGTCAGAAAGCAGGGGTGTTGTTGTCTTTTCTGTTCTGTTTTATACAGAAAAGTTGGACTCTGCAGCAAAACATCTATTTAGAAACACAAACATTGCAATCACAGTTGTTTATAGTGACACAGTCATGTACATTCACAACACCGGTAGACAGACAGATTGTGAACCATAACTATGATGGTGAGTTTTTTTTTTTCCTGTCCAGCCTACAAATTTATGTAATTGATCTCATATTCTGATATCTTGCCAGGCAGGACTGGGTCACTTGCAATCAGACATGTAATTGGAACACTGCCTAAATAGCCTGCCAGTGCCTTTAGTGTTTTTAATAAATGTCAGATAATATTTTCTTTCAGCTAAATATGGAGGATTGGTGGTGGTGCAACTAATGTCAATGGGGACCAAGGGGGAGGGGTTCAGCCAATGAATGCTTTGAAATACTTTGCATAGATTTCTGCATCATCCTTTAAGTAAAACTGGTTCAATGTGAACTTCCTGAAAGCACCACAAACTTTGGACTGACTGCTTACAGCTGGACAGTAGTTGGTAGACATTTTCTTTCCAAGCTCTGAGGTCTCATCAGTTCATCACCATGGTAATGTTCTTTATAGGAATATATGAAAGATGGGCAAAAATGAATTTTCCTGATTTTAGAGATGTGCACGTTGCTTTCTGATGTCTGGTGTAGACTCAGCTGCAGTATCAGTTGACAAAGGGTTTTTAACTGGGTTATCTAAGTGACTGAAACTAAGGATGAGTTGAAATATTATTTTACAAAAGTTGTTTCCTTCTGGCTAAGGTTTCTTCAGTTTACATTGTCCTGTGGAATATGACCAATGTGTATTATTCAAATATGAAGTGCATGTACAAATTTAATGGCATTTGTTTAGGATGGAGCACTGGCTCATTTATTTATACTCCTAATTATACTTACTTCTTTGATTAAGGTATTAGATGTATTGTTTTTTTTTTTTTGTAAACAGGTCACAGAATCATTAGATATAAACCCTAAAGATTGAGTAAAGACTGATTTGGATAATATTAGTAATAGTACATATTTTCAGGCAATATGACATTGTTAGAAGTGCCAAGAGGAGTTATAAACATTACCTGTTGATTAGTGGTTATATAGTCCCTATAATGTTAGGGTTAGGGTGGGTTAGGTCTGGTCAGGCTACTTACTAGATAAGTCTGTTAAATTACCATAGAAACCATCAACAGACATTTGCATTTTGAAAACCAAGAAAAATTAGCTGATTAGAATGACTGCTTATTTATGAGCAAGAAGTCACACAGGTTTTTACATTAGCATGTTTAATAAAACATTAAAATGCATTAATATAGAACTTTTATTAGGCTGAACTTACAGGAATATAATCAACACCCACATGACATGTCTGGGCCAATAAGAGAATTATATTTACCAATGCCATGGCATAAAATACAATAATTTCAAACTGGAAAATTTAGGAAGTTTACAATGCTTTAAGATAACTTAAGATACACATGTGGCTAAGAGAAAACATTACAGTATAATAATATTCATTGTGGTACATTTTTTTAACACAATGAATATTTTGATGACTATGATAAGTTTTTATAATAATTTAAAAAGTGATCTGCAGTTTGGAATTATTCTGCAATTAAAATGGTAAACTGAAAGCTCTATATTTATTCCTGGCAAATGACTACATATTAATTAAAATTATCCATCCGACTTTTAACCACTTTTCCTGGTCAGGATTGCTGGGGAATTATAACCATCCAACCATCCATCCATCCATCCATCTACTTACTCTGGTCAGGGTCACAGCCTGGAGCCTGCAGGCACTTACACACTATGGGCAATTTAGATGTACCAGTTAGCTTAAATGCAAGTCTTTGCAATGCAGGAGGAAATCCAATTCAGGTGCATGTCTTTGAAAGAAAGTGAAGCAGCAGGAAGAAACTAAGGGGGTCTGAGGCAACAATGTTACCCCGCTGACAATGACTTTATTTCTGAAAGAAAAAGAAAGCTAACAAGGTTTTTTAACTTTGGAATATGGACAATGTTTTGTATTCATGCATTCAATTTAAAACCGCACTTAATTGACATAAATCTGCAGCTTAGCGATTATAAAACATGTATGAATAACATTGAAAAGCACAAGTGGTTGAATTAGTGCTGAGGGTTGATGTCCTAACAATGACAGGGACGTCAAGGAGCAGGTGTACATTTGCCCAGACATTAGGAAACAACAACTGTTCTATATAATCATTATTCAATGCAAAAAATAAAATAACCTTAATTGTGCCACATTGTTCTTTTCCACCCAAGTTGTACAGTATTCCATCCAGGACTGTGATTAGCCAGATATTTGAGACGTCGTGTATCCCTTAGGAACAAAGGCTCCCCGATCCCTCGAATATCACCATCACGCAGTTGCGTCAATAAAACATTTGAATTATACATGGGTTTGATTGCTCATAGTGTGGTGTCTCCAACCCCAGCCAACTGATGCGCAGACTGATGCTCGCTCCTTCCTGAGTGAGGATATGATAGCCGGTGAGTGGCCATTAATTAGCATGTTTGAAGCAACACATTTTGTATCATTTTCATGCATTTTCCTTATACATTTTTAAAATAACACATCTTCCCAAGACGTGGCACAGACTCAGAATTTGTTTGATTATTTTACCTAGTCTTTCGAAATGGGTATTTCTTACTTAATTATATCGAGCCAGTGCTTGTTTGGGGTATGAAAATACAAGAATGAGATTTGGCTATTATTAATTTCCTTCAGTGTTTGGTATATCCCTTGTTCACTGAGGGTAAAATATATTTGATATCCTCATTGCAGAGTTTAAGGCAGCTTTCGATATGTTTGACTCTGATGGTGGGGGTGACATCAGCACCAAAGAGCTGGGTACAGTGATGAGGATGCTGGGACAAAATCCCTCCCGAGAGGAGCTGGACGCTATTATTGAGGATGTAGATGAGGATGGTAAGTCTGCTACTCACAAGTCACTTTTTTAGCCTGCAGTTTCATTTTTCTGTACTACTTGCTGTGTACTGTTGTATAAAACAACTGTTGTGTAAAAGGAAGCGGAACAATTGACTTTGAGGAGTTCCTGGTGATGATGGTGCAGCAGCTGAAGGAAGACCAGGCTGGAAAGACCGAGGAGGAGTTGTCAGAATGCTTCCGTATTTTCGATAAGTACGTTACTAGGTTCTGGCTGTTGCCATGATTACAGTGCACTATGCATCGTTTTTATGTTATAGACATAATCACTGTAAGGAGTTGATTAGGCATACAGTAAGTGCAGCTAGGCTGGGGTTCCTATGAATGTCCAGTACAAGTATAAGCTGTATTAGAGCAAGCGCTACACAACAATTTCTAACAACAAAGAACCAAATAAGACTAGTCAAGTACCAGTAATGCAACATTTAAGAACATTCAGGGAACACGGAAAGACATCAAGCTAGGAGGTATTCCTGGAACAGATGGGGCTTGGTTTCTTGTGAAGAGGGAATCTGAGGGCCAGGTGTAGTTTGGAAACTCATTCCACCATTGGGAAACCACACGTGAGAAACATCTGGAGTGAAACTTCTCGCATGGTATACAGTAGGAATCTCCAAGCAACATTGACTTTGTGAATGAAGAGAGGAAGATGGGATGGGGCAATTAAAATTTGTACCATCGCCACGCCCAGTCAAGAAATTTTAATGTCACCATCTCAAATTCTAAAAACCCATATGGACATTGAGGTGACAGAGACAGTAACTGTTCTGTGTATATGTCAGGGCACCTGGGTTTAACCAAAACCAAATACCCAGACCATATAGTGGAGTTAAACAGGACCAGCAGGGTTTCATTAATGAAAGAGTCTCTGTCTGTTTCCGTAGTGACTAGCTGTATAAGGCTTTTGGTTGCTGTGGAAACACAGATTACCCAAACCCAATCAAATATCATTGCTGTGCATAAGATATATAATATCTTGTTTAGTTTATATTAGTTTGGTCTTAGAGGAATGTCATATGAGGAAAGGTTAGTTGAGTTAAATCTGTTCAGCCTCAAGCAAAGGAGACTGAGGGGGGACATGATCCAGGTCTATAAGATTCCAACGGGTTTGGATGCTGTTCAACCAAATAGTTACTTCAGCATTAGTTCAAATACAAGAATTGGTGGCCATAGGTGGAAATTAGCAGGAGAACATTTCAAACTGGATTTAAGGAAGCACTTCTTTACACAGCCTGTAGTCAGAGTATGGAATAGTCTTCCTGATAACGTAGTGCAAGCTGAATCCTTGGGTTCCTTTAAATCAGAGCTAGATAAGATTTTAACGACTCTGAGCTATTAGTTCTCCCCAAGCGAGCTCGATGGGCCGAATGGCCTCCTCTCATTTGTATAGTTCTTATGTTCTTGGAATGTTATATGTTATAGTTCTTATGTTCTTATGTTATTGATCATATTTCATAGAGAAAAAAATAGATAATGTGCTGCTAGTTATTTGAATAATGAGATGAGATAAGATATCGTAAGATATACTTGAACCCAGGGATAAAGTGCATAGATACAGATATAGTGTGATCCAAAGTGCAAAGACACTACACATAATGAATGCAAACAAGTACATATAAGTACAAATAGTTCAAATGCGCACTGTTTTGATTTTCAGCAGGTTGTGTATATATATATATTCATATATAGACACACATGTGTGTGTGTGTATATATATATGTGTGTGTGTGTGTGTGTGTGTCTGTGTGTAAAACAACAGATTTACTAAACAGGTTACTATTTTCTTACTTGTCTTTGTCTTTTACTGCAGGAATGGTGATGGTTTCATTGACCGTGAGGAGTTTGGAGATATCTTGCGCTCCATTGCAGAACCTTTGGCTGAGGATGAAATCAATGAACTCATGTCTGATGCCGATAAAAACAATGATAGCAAGATTGACTTTGATGGTGAAACACTCACTCTTTCTAATGTGCTACATAAATTGCATTTGAAATGTAATCTCTGTGGCATCTAAATATATGCCAGCTTAAAACAAAGATTCTAATGTTTTTAATCATTAGTATGAAATGTCACACAAATAATCACTAATTTGTAGTTGCCATTATAAATGAGATTGATCACATGGTTTCCATGGTGACTTAAACATAGATTATATATATATAATGCATGTTCACATGTAAGGTCAGCTCTATATTCAGTAAATTTGATTAATTGTTACTTTCATAACTGGACGTTTTCCTGGTGAGCCAATGGGTTTGTGAGGTGACAGAATAACCCACCTCCACCCCCCCCGTCTCCCAACCCAGCAAAATTTAATGCAGAGGACATGAAATCCAGCCCTGTTACTCTAACTCAAGTGAGTTGTAATGTGGCTTGGCAGTGGTCGCTTCATTCACTGATTCATTCATTTTCTTGTCTTTTTCCAGAGTGGCTGAAAATGATGGAAAACATACAATGATTGAGACATTCTCCTATAATTATCTGGCATATGATTTGAAGAATACCGCAGAAAAAAGGCATATATTAGAGAAAGTTGTAAATGTATAGCATATTCCAAAGATAACTTAATAAAAGGACAGAATCTATGATAGATCCATCTTAGAAGTCATAGTATCTTTCACAGTCTAATTCAGATATATCATGCATGGAATCATGTACTGAGGTGAAATCTCATTCTTGTTAGTTATAATGTAAATGAGAAAGTAATAAATAGAATACAAATACTGAGACATAAACAATAGAAACCTGACAGTTTAAGATATGGACATGAAGTCATAGATGCAGAATTACAATTACAAAAAAGTAAATTGGCATGGAAGCAGAACATGCAATAAATGAATAGGTGTATTTTCAGAGTTATGAGTCTAGACTGGGAGAGGCCAGAGTGTTCAGAAGTTGAATGATCTGAGGGGAAAAAAGCTGTTCTTCACAGTGTGCCTATTTCTGGCATTTCAGGATATAAATAAACCTTTTTCCCAGTCCAAGACATCAAGATGTGAGCTTCCCTGAAACAGTAGCAGACAGAGTACAGTGTCCAAATAAAATGCTACAGGGCCAAGGTGAAGGGAACCCAAATATCTCCAGCATCAACAGTAGTGTTAGAAGGCCCCCTTTTATTTGAACCTTTCTTAGTATTCCTTGACATTTTGTATTAGCTTCAAAACTCTGAAAAGTTCCGCACAACCTACTCTTCTTGGAACACTGCACAAGGACCACCAACATAGCTGATTCAGGTTGAGAATGTTTGAAAATTCATCATGAAGCTAACATGGACACATGAATGTCTGTCACAAACTCTATCCATCCATCTTGTAAGCCCTTGTCCTGACCAGAGTCACTGTTAGCCTGGAGCCTACGCCAGGCAGCACAGGACACAAGGCAGGAGTGCACCCTGGACCAGATGCCAGTTACTCAAACCAAACAATAATCTTACTTTGTACATTTCTAGATATTTTTCTGTTTATTAACATTCTTCAGTGCCACACAACCAGGGTTGGAAATACATTTTTTTCAGTGTGGCCATTCAGTCTTCAGTATGATGCAGTGCCATACAACAGGGAGGGTCTGGACAGGAAAGGTCAGAGATATTTTTGGTCCAGAAGTAGAGGTTGCTCAGAGAAACAGGCTTGAATTCAATGAAGCAAATCACCTGGGATTGCACAGGACAGGGTTAATGTATTTCTTAAAACACTGTATGGTTGAACACTGGCATATGTAGGTACAAAGAGAGCTAAAGGTATTGGTACCCCTCCACTGTTAAAAATAGAATCACAATTTTCTATTAAATAAGTTCAAACATTATGAACAAAATTAATGGGACCACTAACCTAATATTTTGTAGCACTACGTTTTGAGGCAATAACTGTAATCAAGCGTTTAATCAATCTTTTTCTGTAGCTCAGAATGAGACTTCTACACTTTTCAACTGGTAATTTGGCCTACTCTTCTTGAGCAAACTGCTCCAGTTAATTTTGGTTTGATGGGTTCCTTCTGCCAACTCTGAATTTCAGTCCTTTGTATGGCAGTCTAATGGATTCTGATCAAGACTCATAACAGGCCAATATTAAAGATGACTATGAAGAACTGTGATTCTTAATTATCAGTTGAGCTAAGATGATTGCAGAGGCACAAGTATGTGGCAGACTGCAGTGACACCACCCCCAGAAATCAGGACAGACCACAATTTTTTCATTGGCACTGAGTGATGTCCATCCAGGTTGGCGCCTTGCATAGCAGTCTCTGCCACCGGTGTATGAATGTGTGTGTGAATGGGTGGATGTGAGGCATGAATTAGAATGAAGTAGAAAAGCGCTATATAAATGCAATCCATTTACCATTTAATTTAAGAAAATATTAAGTTTTTCATTTTGTGCACTTAAAGTCTTAAATTCTGCTAAATTCTCACCTCAGTCTTCTGAATGATATATGGTGTTGTTATGACCCCTTTTGAGACAGGCTCAACATGTAGTCTAGAGGGAAAAGGGGCCAGACATAAAAGATAAGGGAAAAGGGAACCTAAACTTCTTATTCAGGAAGAACACCCATACAGAGCCAAGTGATAATTGGGATGCTTTTACTGGGATGCTTTTACTGGGGGAAAGAAGAAAGAAAAGTATAGACCGTGAAAAGAATTGTTCTCAAAAATAAATAAATAAATAAATAAACACCTACCTACCGTCCTCTCAACGGAACAAAAAATATATAAATGGCCAAGCCAGCAATTGAGAAAGCTTGAAAATCAGAGAGACCTTGAGGTCATTCAGGCAAGGTTGAATGTCTTTACTGAAGAAGAGGAAAGAGATGGGACAGACAGTCCATTATTCGGCAAGGTGAATGATGCAAGCCCATCTGCTCACCACATCCTAGATCAAGAACAGAAAGTTGTGCAAAATCAGACATCATTAGTCCAGTCGCTCCAAGAGTCATTAGCTCTCTCTAGGCTTCCTACTCCAGAACCTATTATATTCTCAAGTGACCCTCTGAAGTTCACAGAATGGAGCATAAGCTTCAAAGCTCTTATAGAGAGGCGATGCTCTGACCCTGCAGATAGGCTATTCTACCTACAAAAATACATAGCAGGGGAGGCAAAATCTTCTCTGGAAGGCAGCTTATACAGAAAAGACAAAGAAGCCTACAGTATCAACAACCCTGGGATAGGCTGAATGCCAGATATGGCCATTCCTTTGTAGTGCAACGGGCCTTCAGAGAGAAGCTAAATAGGTGACCAAGGATTTGGTGGAAAAGAATATGTCAAGCTGAGAGAATTCAGTGATTTCCTCCAAACATGTAGTAATGCCATGCCTCACATAAAGGGGTTACAGGTTCTGAATGACTGTGAGGAGAACCAGAAAATACTTGTCAAACTCTCTGAATGGGTGACATCTAGATGGAACCATTATGTAACAGAGCAACTGGATCGAGGCAATGACTATCCAAGCTTTCATGAGTTTGTCTCCTTCATCCCTAAGGAGGTGCACATAGCATGTAATCCAGTGTCATCTTTGCATGCTTTAAGGCACTCTGCAGAGACACCAGTAAGAGAGATGAAGCGCTCAAAAGCAAACACGTTTGCCACAAATGTGAAGGCCTCAGTTCCACCAAGCTCCACAACCAAATCTAACCTTAGTGAGATAAACTTGAGAGATGCGGAGAAACTAAACAAATGGAGCACACCTTCACAAAACTCAAATACTGGCAAGTGCATTTGCTGCGGTGTTACCCACTCCATACATAAATGCAAGAGGCTAATGGAAATGTCTGTAGAGGATAAGAAAAAATGCATATTTCAAAATAAGTTGTGTTTTGCATGCCTAAGGAAAGGTCACAATTCTAAAGACTGTAGAAACAGGGCCATGTGTAGCATATGCAGAAAGAGTCACCCAACTCCACTGCATGAAGATCGTACTCCCGCAGAAACACCATCAACACAAGGTGCAGTGGAGGAAAGTACATCCTCACTATCATGCTGTGTGAACAGAGGTGAAGGTGGGAGCACATCAATGATTGTGCCAGTGGGGATATCAGCACCTTGTGCTCCTGATACTGAAACCCTAGTATATGCCCTACTGGACACTCAAAGCAGTCACACATTTGTTGATCAGGAGGAGTGCGAAAGGCTCCGGGTAAAAATGGAACCAGTAAAACTAAAACTCACCACAATGGTGGGGAAGGACTTAGTTGTGAAGAGTCAAAGAGTATGTGAGCTCAAAGTTGAGGATTCTCCTCAAACATTTCCATCAGCTTGCCTCCAGCCTACACAAGGGATTTTATACCTCTTGATCGTGCACAAATTTCCACTTGTCAGACAGCCAACAAATGGAATCACCTTGTCAGCATAGACCCCCTTTAATGGACTGTGGTGTTGGATTATTGATTGGTTATGACTGCTCCAGAGCTCTAATTCCGAGAAGAGTCATCACTGGGGGGTGACTATGAGCCTTACGCTATTGAAACTGACCTCGGTTGGAGTATTGTGGGAAGCGTGACACAGCGAATGAATGCTAAACATGTGACTGGTCTTTGTCATCGAGTATCCGTCAGAGAGTTACCACCTATAACACCATCAAGGTCCTTGAGTCAGATTTTGCAGACACAAAACCTGGCGACAAAAGCATATCTGAAGAAGATACTTGCTTCCTGCAGATCTTAAGGGGAGGAATCCAGAAAAATGAGCATGGTCACCTTGAAATGCCTCTTCCTTTCAAAGCACGTCCTCACCTCCCAGACAACAGGAAGCTGGCACTAGTACGCCTGAAGCACCTTAAAAGGAAGCTAGACAGCGATCCCAAATTCAAAATCGATTACGTGGGCTTTATGGAAGGCGTTTTCAAGGATGGTGACGCAGAGAAAGTGGACTCCCAACCAGAACTTGGGAAAGTATGGTACATCCCACATCATGGAGTGTACCACCCCAGAAAGCCAGACAAAATCCGGGTAGTTTTCGACTGCTCCGCAAGGTACGAAGGCACCACCTTAAATGATCATCTGCTAACGGGACCTGACCTCACAAATAGTCTCACAGCTGTACTCTGCCGTTTCCAAAAATATCCCATCGCAGTCAAGTGTGATGTAGAAAAAATGTTCCATAGGTTCCATGTCAGCAAAGAGGACAGAGACTATTTGTGGTTTCTCTGGTGGGAAAACAGAAACACAAACTCAGAACCCACAGAATACCACATGAAGGTTCACCTCTTTGGAGCATCATCTTCCCCTGGCTGTGCCTATTATGGCATGAAATACCTTGCCAGTCAATGTGAGAAAGAGTGCCCGTCCGCAGCTAGCTTCATCCGGAAACATTTTTACGTCGATGACGGTCTCATAAGTGTGGAGTCAGTTAGTAAGGCTATTGAGCTGGTGAAGGAAGCCCAAGCCATGTGTGCTAAAGGAAAGTTGCACCTTCATAAATTTCTTTCCAACAGCCGAGAGGTGCTAGACTCTCTTGATGTTGCAGAACGTGCTGTGGAGGTAAAAAATGTTGATCTTACCCATGATGATTTACCAGTACAAAGAGTGCTAGGTATTAGATGGAACATTGAAAATGATAGCTTCTCCTCCAAGGTGTCACTTGAGGAGAAACCAGCGACACGCCGAGGGATTCTCTCAGTTGTGGCCTCCTTGTGTGACCCTTTAGGGTTTCTACCCCCAGTCATTCTTGAAGGAAAAAGAGTGCTGCAGGAGATGTGTCAGAGAGGCACAGGGTGGGATGAGCCACTACCTAGAGACTTGAAGTTAAGGTGGGAGACTTGGATGAAGGATTTGGAGAACCTGGAGAAGATTGAGATTTCAAGATGCTTTATACCCAACAACCTTGGTGAGATCCAGAGAGCCGAGCTTCATCATGCAAGCAGTCAAGGGTATGGCCAGTGCTTTTATGTCAGAGTGTTAAGCAAGGAAAAGGTGTACTGCTCCTTGGTCATGGGCAAAGCGAGGGTTGCACCAACCAGAATAGTCACCATACCGAGACTTGAGCTAACTGCCGCAGTAACCTCAGCA